GTAAAGTGATAAATGAATATTTTATGTTTTATAAGTGATAGTTTGATGGAAGTAAAACATGTTAAAAACAAGCAGATTGTCTATGATCGAGTTAAATACTTATATTCTTTTGTCATATTAATATTCTATTTCTTCTCGATCAAATGCATTTACTGTTACTGTTATAATACTGCATATCCCTGATTTATGGTTCTATTCAATTTTTTTTTAAATTGTAAGAATATCCTGTGCACTCAGCTTTATTTAAATTATCGTGGATATTAAATCCTGTACAAGAAAATTGACTGTTATGCAAATGAAAATGAAATATTCGTCATTGGAAAGTGATATTTTTATAGTATGTTTGTATGTGCATGCTTGATTATGATGGAGTCACCTTTTTTATGGTACTAATGAGGGAACACTAAAGTACCCGTGCATATAAATGAAAAAAATTGTTGATATTAAAGTATTTTAATTGGTTCAACTTTTAGATGATGCTTATGTGACAAATGTACAAATATATAATGATATAAATATGCTATTGATATAGTAAAATTCATGAAATAACATCATAATCTTAAAATATCAAATGTTTATATTGATTTATTGAAAGCTTGACTGACATGTATATTGTGTTTTTTTTTCCTTGTATTACTGTAGTTTAGGAGTGTGGGTATTCACAGACTTTAGTTAACCTACAGTTACTTTAGTTAAACTACAGTTGTTTTAAACTAAATTTTCAGATATAATTAATTTATTAAAAGGTGAGCAATAGGAAAAAAAAATTATAGAAAACGTGAACAAAATGTAATGAGGTATGTTTAATTATATCACTTCAACTTAATTTATTTAGTAGCTCTTTCATTTATTAATAGCTAGTTATAGAATTAATTAGATAAATCTTAATTCCCTTCGTCTGATCATTTGTACATGCCTTGGTTAATTCCAAATCCCGGGTTGGGTTGTGACAGTATGCACTATCCTTGAAATGTTCATATTGCATTACTAAATAAAAAAATTTAAAAAGATTACAAAAGGAGTGCCTAGTTCGTCAAAACATGGGCCTGGTCCAATGCAACAAAAGGAAAAAGAAAATGAGAGCTATCAATATTCCTAACAAAAAACTAGCATGTACAGCCTTTTGGGCACAAATATGAGCACCAAGATTTTTCTATCTATATATATGTTGAAATAGAACTCGTTTGAATGAAGTTAGAAAAGTAAGATCCTCTGTATCTTCAAACTGAGCAGTCCAGTATGCACTATCCAACAGAAAATAAATATAAATATTAGTGGTTGGAGTCAGCCATTATCCTTAACACTTACAAACGAAAAAGAAAGGAAAAAAAAAAGAGAGAGAGAGAAAGAAACGCATAAATCTGATGGAATCACTATTGATGATGTTTTGATTGTTTGACTACTTTAATTTGTGTTGTCTTGATTGCATTGATCATTGCTGTAGTTGAGTCCTTAGATTCTAGACTCCAAAAAATCTATTTTATTTTTAAGATATGCTTGTTATAACCACAATATCCTTGAGCTTGGTCTCAAGGTGGTTAATATGAACATGAGCTATCTCAGCAATGTTCATCTTGACAAGCTCTCTGTCTCTCTTTATACGCTCACACTTACATAGATATAATTTATATATCTTATATATGTATTCACATATGATTATATGTGCCTGAATGATACATATTTTTAAAGTTTGACTTATTTATTTAAACTTTTAAAACCATGAACTATAGTTTACAAATCATGAATAAATAGTATTTTAAGTTCTATTACTTAAAAATATGTTACTTTGTCATAATGCCGAAGTTTTCATTGTGCAATCAAATCATGACATTTTCTGATGCATTTGATGATATTATTTTGTTTTAGTGTCATTTACATACATAGCACCTAATTCTTATATATTTCATATCTAACACCTAAACTATGTTTTTCTTACAAGTATACCAACCAAATTTTGCACATCGCATCAAAACTACTACTAGTTTTAACTTTTAAGAGGAGAAATACACCTTTTCATGTATAAGGTGGCATATATGTAAAAAATTGAAGTTTAGGTGTTAGATATGTAAGTACATAAGAATTGAGTGTTATGTATGTAAAAGTGTTATGTATGTAAATCTTCTGTAAATCTTCTTTTCTTTTATTCTTCATGTTTGGCTTGTGTTTGGATTGATAGTAAATTTTGAGCTTGAACATGATTTTTTACCTTAGTCAACTTAAGCTTGTTCATGTTTGGTTCAAGAGTTGTTGATGAACTGAAACAAATATACAAGTGCCAAGCTTGCACTTGTTTAAATCATTTGCAATTTTAGATTTGGGGCTAATCTTTGTTTTTTTCAATTAACTGTGGAAGTATGTCTTTGTTTTTTTCTGTAGAAGTTGGGTTCATGTATTATTAGTCTTTATAACGACACCCTTTCCTTTATACAAGAGGTGTATACCAAGAATAAAAATCTTGTTTAACTTACAGGTTGCTGCCCACATCGTCAATATTTGAGTCAACAAGAATGTAGTATGATAGATAAATCCTGGAAGAAAAGGGTTCCAGGTTGCCATAAAAATAAACATATCGGGCTGAAAATTGCAAGATTTTCCAGTTTTAATGGTTGGAAACATCTAAATGCCACATCTGGACAGTCCTTAGAACCAGAACCTGAAGCATATACTGTGATGAAATTATGGGATTTACTATTTTCATCATTGGATGCTTTCTATCGGTTTTCACGTCCCCACACGGTCATAGGCACAGTTAAGTCAGCCCCTGTAATACTTTTTTATAATATTTTTAAGGGAATTTTGCATGCATACCACAAAATTCTTATGTATTTACATATCTAACACCTAAAATTTTATATTTACATTTATAACACTTTGGTGTTATAACCTTATGCATGAATAGGTGTATTTCACTTTTAAAAAAATAGGAATAGTGGTATTTTATGTGATATTAATGATTTGAGTGATACACATGTAAATATGAAACTTTTGGTGTTATATATGTAAATATATAAGAATTGTGTGGTATTTATGTAAAAGCCCTTATTTTTAAACAGCAAGCATGCGTTATTATGAAAAAAATTGTTCTTGTTAAATGGTTTTGCATGCATACCACAAATAAAATATTCACGTCTTTGCAGGCATTGAGTATTGTCTCAGTTTCTCTTCTGTCGGTTGAGAATTTCAATGATTTTTCTCCGCCCTTCTTTACTGGACTTTTACAGGTAGAAATCTTAATATTTTGCTGCGTTGAATACGTTCTTTGACTTATTGACATTAAATAATTTGCAGGCAGTGATTGCTGCACTATTCATGAACATTTACATTGTTGGACTGAATCAGTTATTTGACATTGAAATAGATAAGGTATCTCTCCGGGCTCCCTTTTTTTTCTTTTTCTTATTTCACCTATGTGCGTTTGTGTGTTTTGTTTTAAAAACACTTAAAGAGTGAAGTGGAAAAATGGTCCCCTAGTTATTTTTGTGGGCCATTTTAGTCCCAAAATTTATAAGAGTTTCAAATTAGTCACTGGACTATTCTAATATAGGCTAAAATAATCCCTATTAAGAACTATTTTTATAAGAACTTAAAGAATTATTTCTCACCTTTTACTTCACACGGTTGATTTCACCCAAACTACCTGCTCCCATACCCAAAATCCTTGATGTCTGTCGCATTTGGAGCCTCTGTGAAACCAGCGAACCTACCTCCTTCTGTTTGCGCCTACCTAAAACCAGCTAGGAAGGTAACCTTCGTCTTTCTCCCCTTCCTCGTACCTGTAAATGCCATCGCCAAACCGGATTTCCTAATCCGGAATTTAAGGCAAACATATGAGATACGAGATTTAAGAACTTATAGGATTTAATTTAGTTATTATGCTGCTATTATTAAGGATAGGTGTTATGCATTTAAATCTCTCAAAATTTTATTTTTAAAAAAATTGTCCTCCCTATCAAAAAAAAAAAAAAAAAAAAAAAAAAATTTCATAATTCATAACTTCTTGTTTTTAACAACAACAATAATAATAATAATAATAATAATAGATTGATAGTCAAATCGTCGAATTAGTAGAAAATTCTTGTTAGTCGCCTCGAGGTAAGTAGTTGCTTTTTATTATGGGATAAACGTACCATTTCTAATTAGGGGTGTTAATATGACAACAAATTTCATTTGTATTCATAATGACTCATTTGTATTCTAATGACTTTCATGTGTAACTAGCCTTGTTTTATTGCTGCATAGATTCATGTTTATTTACTCGCATGCCATGGTTCAGTAATTATTATTCTTTATAACATAGATATGTGAAATTTTATTATTATAGTTTTACAATTGATTATAAATACTGATGGACTTTTTGTAGTTATATTATTGTATTTTGAATAAAATATATCTAATAATATAATATAATTATGTCGATATTAAACACTTTTGTTATGGCTAGCATGACTGACGGGCTCTTCAGAGAAATCAATGGATTTCCATGGGATTGGTATCTACATTTCCTGGTTTTAGGGTGTCATAGTAAAACGACTATATAAATATAATTATATGTGTGTGTGTGTGTATATATATATATATGTGTGTGTGTGTGTGTGTGTGTGTGTACTTAAATTGTATGTTATCAGATATTGTTGAATGATTAATGAAGAAGTTAGTTCATGAAACTAATATTAGGATAGAGTCTTAGAATATATGTACTCTTACGGGTAAATTAATAGAATTGGTTGATATTATGATTCCTAAAAAGATAAATATGTTATGTATTCAAGTAACTAAATGAGTTGGAGAAAAGGCTAAGGAGATTGATAAATTTTGGTTTTAAACTTTGATATTTAGGTAAAAGTCGCACTATAAAAGGTCTGTGTAATATAAATAAGAGTTTGAAAGATAATGTTGTAAAAATTAATAGAATTGGAGATAAAATTATAGCCCTTAAGATTATTATTGATATTAAAATTTTTAATATTATAAGTGTTTATGCTTCTAAAGTAGATTTAGATATAGGTTCTATAGATAAATTCTATAATGATCTAGAAGACTTTATATAAATGATATCTCTTGAAGTAAAAAATTCTATTGGAGGATATTTAAGGTATGTTTGGGGCAGCAACAGCTTATTGAATAATTTGCTGATAAACACCTGATCTTGATGATCATCAGCTTATTTGGATAAGTTGGTAGGCTGTTTGGTTGGTGTTGTTTGAAAACAGCTGATTTGCAGCTATTTCTAGATAAATGATCATTCTGCCCGTGCAATAAAGTTTTGCAACAAAACTGTCATAGTAATATACTTGATACTTGAAAAGCAGAAAGCTAATACAGAACAACAAAACAAAATAAGAGACACCTCTCACTAAACAAACAATTTTTCAAAAACCTATTTTTTACATTTATAACATGGGCTTAAACATGATATTATAATGGTTTTACAAATAAACCCCTAGACTTCTTCAATATTTCCTCTTTACCAATAGGACCCTAAATAAGATTCAGTTCTCAACAAAATCTAAAATTAAATAGACCTCACATCTAATTGAAATTATGCAACCATTCATGCTTAATTTGTATCCAACATGCATCCACTCTAATACAATTTAAAACTAATACAGAACAACAAAACAAAATAAGAGAGACCTCATTAAACAAAGAATTTATCAAAAAAAAACTTATTTTTTACATTTATAACATGGGCTTAAATATGATATTATAATGGTTTTACAAATAAGCCCCTAGACTTCTTCAATATTTCCTCTTTACCAATAGGATCCTAAATAAGATTCAATTCTCAACAGAATTTAAAATTAAATAGACCACACATCTAATTGAAATTATGCAACCATTCATGCTTAATTTGTATCCAACATGCATCCACTCTAATACAATTTAAAACTAATACAGAACAACAAAACAAAATAAGAGAGACCTCATTAAACAAAGAATTTATCAAAAAAAACTTATTTTTTACATTTATAACATGGGCTTAAATATGATATTATAATTGTTTTACAAATAAACCCCTAGACTTCTTCAATATTTCCTCTTTACTAATAGGATCCTAAATAAGATTCAATTCTCAACAGAATTTAAAATTAAATAGACCACACATCTAATTGAAATTATGCAACCATTCATGCTTAATTTGTATCCAACATGCATTCACTCTAAATTTACCAAAGTTCAATCTTACAATTTAAAATCTAGTAATTTAAATAATCAAAGACAACAAAAATTGAACAAATTTTAAGTTATTTTTTAATTGGAATATAGTTACAGTCTTGAACACAAAATCTGGAATACGAAGCATTTAATATTCAATCAAATTATTTACATAAATTTATTATTATTCGCAAAAACTGAATGTTATAAAAATTTGATATATTTTATAAGAAATTCAATAAAAATATCACATTCTTTATCAAGAATGCAGAATTTGTGGATGTGCGAAAGGCTTAGAAATTTGAGCTAAGGAATTACATATTTTAAAGTAATTATTGCAATTTTATTTCCTTCAATCCAGATGAAGCATTCGTCCAAGTAGAAGGAAAACAGAAAGAGAAAATATCTATGAACAAAATTGAATTTGGCTTTCTAGCACAGTGTTGAAGCACGACATCAGAACCTCCACAGACGAGAAGCCAACGCCGATGAAAAAATCATAGTTGTAGTGGGCGGTGCCGCAAGCTTTGTTGCCGTTCCTCTTTCCGGCTAGATCTTCGCTTTGCAGAGCTGCATGTGATGAGTGTAAGCAGTTGAGCGAGCGAGGGAGAAGACGGGGGGCACGGGAGGAAAAAACCTTTGAAGCGGAATCGAAAACACAGGCCGCGGGGTCAATCCTGTGGCCGCGTCTATGAAAAGGCGCCAAACAACGTTTTCAAAAACACTCCCCGAACGCAACAATTAAACACCCAAGCGGCGTTTGGAGAACGCCAAACGCAGCTTGGTTGAAGTAGAGGAATGCTTCGTGCTTATTGTGTGATAGAAAAGTACCGCTTAGACTAAAAGGAAAATTTTATAAGATGGTAGTGAGACCTGCAATGCTCTATGGCACTGAATGTTGGCTTTTAAAAGAGATAAAAGAGAAGCAAAGAGAAGCATAAAACTAAGTTAAGTGTTGTGGAGATGAGAATGATTAGGTGGATGCGTGGCTTTACACAGAGATAAAATTCGAAATGAATATATCTGTGATAGGGTTGGTGCAGCTCCAATGACGGACAAAATTAGAGAGAGTCGTCTTAGATTGTTTGGTCACATTAAACGTCGACCATCTGATGATCTGATTAGAAGAGTAGATGTTTTAGATTCGACTTATGTTAAGAAAGGCAGAGGTAGACCTATGATGACTTGGACATATTGTATAAAAAAAGATCTTAATTTATTATAATTAAATGAAAACATGACACTAAATAGGGCGCAATGGAGAAAAAGGATTCATGTAGCCGAACCTACTTAGTGGGATAAAGGTTTTGTTGTCGTTGTATGATTTTGTTATTGCTAATACTTTATTCAAGAAAACAGATTGACATATTATTATTTATAAAAATAAATATAATAAAATTGATTATTTTCTTATGAGAAGAAGAAATCGTCGAGATTGTATAAATTGTGAGGTCATTCAAAGTGAGGATTTAAGCTCTCAACATCGATTATGAGTTTTAGATTTTAAGATGAAGAGTTGTAAAATAAAGAATACTATGAATCATTATCGTAGAATTATATGGGGGCACCTAAAACTCATATAAATTATTTTTATGAATAAACTTCAAAATTTTAAGATTTGGGATGTTCATGAAAAAACAAATTCTATGTGGGATAAAGTAACAAAAACTATTAAACAAGTGACGAAATTTGTACTTGAAGAATCAAAAGAAAAGTTTCTATAAATAATAATAGTTTGTGGTGGAATAATAATGTGCAAAAAAAGATTAAATATAAAAAATTATGTTATAAAAATTGGTACTTAAATGTAAAATTTTAGAGAATTGGGAAAAATATAAAATGACCCGTAGGAAGTCTAGAAGAACAATCTGTGATGCTAAAAATTCTGTTTTTAGTGATTTTTATAATATATTAGATACTAAAGATGTTGAAAAATCTATATATAAACTAGTCAAACAAAGAAAAAGAAAAGTAAATGTTTAACTAAAGTAGTGTATTAAAGATGAAAATTAAAAATCATTTTTCTTAGAAAAAGTTATTCAATATAAGTGGGTGGGTTATTGTGATAAACCTTTTAATAAAATTTATGAAAATACGATTGACCTATTAATCTTAATATCGTTAATAATAATAAAATATTTTATTTTTACTGTTGCATTAGTAAAAATGAAATTGATGAGGCTTTAAAAAAATCAATGGTGGAAAATCGATAGGACCTAATGATATCCTAATTGAAGTGTGGAAATATATATGCGATTTGAGAGTTTCTTGGCTTACTAAACTCTTTAATATTATTTTAAAAACTAAAAAGATATTTGAGGAGTAGACGAAGAGTATTTTGGTCCCATTTTTAAGAATAAAGGGGATGCACAAGAGTGTGCAAATTATAGAGGAATTAAGTTAATGTGTCATACTTTAAAATTATGGGAGAGGGTAATTGAACATAGGTTAAGACATATTAGAAAGTTCTCTCATAATCAATTTGGATTTATGCCTGACAGGTCTACTATAGAAGCTATACATTTATTGAGAGGTTTGCTTTATGGAGAAGTTCGGAGAGAATAAGGAGGATCTACATATGATTTTTATTGATTTAGAAAAAGCTTACGATAAGGTTCTAAGAGATTTTCTTTGGAGAGTTCTAGAAAAGAAATGTATTGATATGACTTAGATTCAAGTCATTAATTTGCCGCAAGGAACTACCGCTTGCACTTCTCTTTCTCTGCCTTGAGGAAACCTTCCTCTATCTCGAGGAAATCGAAGAACTCAAAGCGTGATTACAAAACCCAAGGAGAGCCATCCGAAGCTTTTATCACGAACAGGAGGGAGCTAAGAGATGCCTCACTTCACAAAAGAGAAAGACAGAAGTGGTTATTTGTGAAGAAGTGTGACTCTCTAAAGCAAAGTAACCGCCCAAGCATAGTGGACCGGGCTCCACCGTTTCTAACAATTCTCTCACTTGGAGACCGATACACAGGCTGCAACATCTTCTTTGTCAAATTGATATCCTTCACTGACGTTGTCGTCTTTTTCTTCAACATGTATCATGTGTCCTCCACCTTGAATCCTCCACCTCTGCAACTCAAAGTCCTGTATTCACTCCAGAAGACCAACTGAAGCTATACACAACTTCAGTTTCTCAAGAGTAACACCCTCAGTCAACATATCAGCAGACTTCACATAGCTTTGCATCTCCAAGCTATTTCCTGGGTCACTCTTGTCTCTTCTTACAACTCCCACTACATGGGCAACATTATGCCTCTGCTGAAAGCCCTTTTCAACAAGTATAGCATTGTACCTCTTACTGACACACGCTCAGTATTCACCTGGTACACCCACTTGTTGTGCGATGCCTTCTTCCATGGTGGAAGTTCTGTCAGCTCCCACTTGCTCGAACTTTCATCTTGCAAGTTTTTTTCATAGCTCTGTGGTTCTTCAACATCTATCTGTGGAACAATAGAAATGGGTGCCCCGGACCCACTTTCCTCTTCACTTCCATCACTGCCCTGCACTGTGACCTCTGGTAGATTTCCTACCACATTCAAAACCCCTAAATCCAATATCAAGTCTTCAACAGAACTATGAACTGCCAACAATAGTGCATTCTGTGATTCTTCAAATACCACATTTGCGCTATCATTCTTTCATCTTCTTAAGATTCATGTTGTTTTTCTTTATGTGGCCAGCCTTGCAACAATTCCTACAGGTTGTCTGCTTACTAAACTTTGATTTTGATCTCCCTTATTTTGAGTTCCTGCCATGCAATCTCTCTCTGAAATCAACATTGAGTGTCGAACTCGAACTTGAGACCTCGCCATTATCTTTCCTTCAAACTTCCTCAGCCAAAATCAAATCATGAATATCATCGTATTTCAGTTTCAATTTATCTACAGAACTGCTAACTGCTATTATCATGGTTTCCCAACTATCTGATAATGAAACCAACAAGATCAGTGCACATATCTCATCATTAAAATTAATTTTCATAGATCAAAATTGATTTGTGATAGTATTGAAAACATTCAGGTGTTTGAACAACAAAAACATCTTTCGCCATCTTCAAATTGAATAACTTCTTCATCAAATGCATCTTGTTATTCGCCGGTGGTTTTTTATACATGTCTGATAAGACTGTCATGAGATTTGCAGTTGTCCTTTCTTTGACGACGATGTGTGCAACGAACCTCGATAGGGTCAATCGAACAACCCACAGAACTTGTCGATCCAACAAATTTCATTCAACATCATCAATCATTTCAGGTCTTTTCCCCAAGAATGGAAGATTAAGTTTCTTCCCATAAAAATAATCCTCTATTTGCATTCTCCAATAACCAAAATCAGTGTCATCAAACTTTTCGATCCCTGAAACTTTCACTTCATCTGCAGTCATCATTCTTTCTTAGATCCGAAACCACACTCTGATACCAGTTGTCGTTGATGTGAAATCTAGATATACCAGTTGATGTGGTATATATATAAATCAAACAGGAGAACGATCGACGAAGTGAAAAATAGAACGAGAAAAATCACACCAGAAAAGAACAACACTGCAGAACACACATATTTACGTGGTTCGGCAAATTGCCTACGTCCCCGGAGTTGTAGAGGATTTTAGTACTCGAGGAATTTACACCAGTCGATCACCTCGACTTACAAGAGGAATCTCTCACTCTTTGTTGCTCTCTCTTCTTCTCTCTCTGTTATTCTCTCTCTATATCGAGCTACACCAAAGAAAACTCTACACCGGGATACACCGAAGAAGACAAACTTACAAGAGAAATAAACTCAATTTCTCTTCTGCCACAAACTACCAAGAAGAAGCCTAGGGAGAACAATCTTCTTATTCTTCCTTCTGCCGCAAAGAACTACCGCTTGCACTTCTCTTCCTTTGCCCCGAGGAAACCTTCCTCTATCCCAAGGAAATCGAAGAAAAACTCAAAGCTTGACTACAAAACCCAAGGAGAGCTATCAGAAGCTTTTATCACGAACAAGAGTGAGCGAAGAGATACTTCACTTCACAAAAGAGGAAGGCGGGAGTGGTTATTTGTGAAGAGGTGTGACTCTCCAAAGCAAAGTAACCGCCCAAGAATAGTGGACAGGGCTCCACCGTTTCTAACAAAAACTTTAAAAAATTTAGGGCTTGCCAAAATCTGATACCAAATTATATTGATATGTGGCTCCTGGAAGGTATTTGGAAAACGGTTTGAAAGGAGATGGTTGTGGAATAGCAAGGGAATGAAGTATGAGGGTTTGACAACATTTGGGCGGAGATAGGCATCGATCGGATGCTGTCCCGACTGAAATCAGCGGAGAAAACTTTAAATTAGCGAAGTTAGGGCGGCGAGGAGCTTCCACCACCCATGCCTAAGTAAGATACTGGCACACCATTTGCAACAGGAATATGATACAATGCTCTAATAGAGATAACCAGGAGAAGTATGTTCAAATAACATAAATCAAATCAAAAGTCTCAAAAAGTAGAATATACGACATATAAATAATTCACAACTAGAAAACCCTAATTAAAAATTAAAGAAATAGGAAAAAGCTAGAAAAGAAAGAAGGATAAGAGTAAACATGCTGAAAAATAGAAAGAAAAAAAATCATCCAGTTCGGTTCTGCCGCGATCATGGGAAGCATGGCTCCCTGCCGTGATATCACATCCTAGTACGCGTCCCGTGTCAACTAAATTGGCACTCCTCGATAAAGAGTCAGGTAATCATTTTGATATTTTCCTTGACACTTAATAGATGTAATCACCGATAAAGTATACACTTATTTTTTAATTGGAAAATCCTCATTTTTCATTTTCATCATCTAGTAAAACGGATGTTTGGATGATCTAGAGTGGTGCTTCATGATAGCCTTCTTCCTAAATTTCCATTTGTCACTAATATAGTAAAATGGACTTTTGTATGATCTAGCATGGTGCTTCATAAGTTTCTTTTTTTTTTGTTTGATATAATTTTTCACATACTGATTTGTGAATTCTGGTACTCATTTTTATTTAGGTTAATAAGCCGACTCTCCCACTCGCTTCCGGGGAATACTCTTTCAGAACTGGCACTGCAATTGTTTCCATTTTTGCTATTATGGTAACTTATATCCTTGAAATTGTTAGCCTTTTCTAAAATCTTGTTCAAACATTAATCATTTTTACAGAGTAGCATTTTCATGTGCAATTTATGAGAGTATTTGAAAGAAGTATGGGATGTTGCTGTTTGTTTTTTAACTGTTGTTTGACCAAACCGGTTCACAACCATACCAGTTCTTATGTTTTTACTTTCTGCTCGCTTCTCTGTGAATGTGGTTATAATCAAAAGGGCCATTTATATGCATACCACTCAATTCCTATTTATTCACATACCTAACTTCTAAATTTTGTTTTGTACATTTAAATCACCCAAATCTTTTATACTACATAACAAATACCACCATTTTAATTTTTAAAAAGTGAACTAGACCTCTTCATATATAGGTAAAGGGGGTATGTATGTAAAAATTTACTTTAGTGGTATGTATGTAAATCTTCCTAATAAAAAACTTGTGTTTTTTATTTTTTGTTGTTGCCTATGGCATATCTTAATTAACAAGACTACAAAAGAGTTCTTTAAATTAAGTGGGTGTAGTGTACGAGCCCTAGGGGTTTATAATATAGGCGACAACTTTGAATCTATTTCTGGAATGCTTTTTTTATTCTGATAGAGTGTTGATTTTAGGGGTGCCGCTGGAGAAAATATTGGACTAAGCATGTAATCTCTGCTTTAGTTTCATCTGAGTGCTGCAATATGGTGCTTTGATGCCCACGATGCAAAGAAATATTAGATTTGTTTGTGAAGGAATTGCAAAACATTGTTAAATGGATCCTTTTTGTAAACATATGGAAGTAAATATTTTATACGAAGTAATGCATCTTCTCTTAATAGCCAATTTTGTTATGCGGAGATAAAATTACGAGTGCAAGGATGAATATCCTTTTCTTAGTAGACGACTCTGTTGACTAATATAACTTATTTTTTCACATGAAATTGGCATTTCTACATTTCTTTGCTTCCCCAAAATTGCAATCTTAACATTATTTATATTCAATAGATATTAAATTTGAAAATTTATCTTGAGAATGAAAGAATTTTTGGCCATTTGATCTAATATTTGTCGGTATATTTGCACATGTAGTTCTTACCATTTTGATATTTGTGATGGTGTAGAGTGTACTGTCTTATTTTCTCAGGCAATCACCATAGAGTGACTGTGGGATTAGATCTTTCTGGTATAACTTGTCTTAAAGAAGTCAAAACTCTCTTCAGGCTATAAATTGTCTTTTCTCTAAAAGCACATGCACTGAATGGGGAAATTGTTTCTCTTTCATATTTTTCTTTTAGATCATTGAAACTTTTCTCCAATAACTTTGATCAGCTATCATTTGGTTTTATGTTTCAGAGCTTTGCCATTGGATGGGTTGCTGGATCTTGGCCATTGTTTTGGGCCCTTTTCATTAGTTTCATTCTTGGAACTGCATATTCTATCAATGTAAGTTCATATTCTTTTTCACAATCAATTTGTTTATATTACATTGTTGCACTTTTATAAACAATTTCTAATAGCACTATTAGAAATTGTTGTATAGCTTCTTAATTTTAGTTTCTCCCTCCCCAAATTTCTGTTATAAAATAGTACTTGAAGCCAATTATGCAATGATGACATAATTAATATGTAAAATATACACAAAAATATTTAGTAAATATGTTTAACTTTTTTCAACTCTCAAACCCAAATATTTCTTGTACAACTCTTTTTTTGTCAATATTTTGCATGCCCCATCATTATTATAACCATTAGCGAAATATTAATGAAATTAAGCTGAACAAACAATTGTCTTTGTGGCTATCATCACCAATGTTATAATGTGTTGCTTCATAGATTGTATGCACCAGGTTAACTTCTGGCCTATTCATGGTTGTGCGGTTCTGTTGCCGGCTCATCACGTAGAGCTGAGTTCCAGCATTGCTAGTTCTATAATAGTTTGAAGTTTATCTCATGTGTCTGGTGCATATGCCTCTCTAGTTGATCGCTCCTCATCTTCATTGGACTTCTCTTTGTAGTGCATAGGATGCCAGAGCTATCTTGCCTCACCATATTTATGATATAGCCGTCTTGGCAGTGAAGAATAACTTGATTGCCCTCTTGATCACTATGTCCTTCATAGGGGTTGCCATATGTGATCCGGCACCACACTTACTAATAAGTTTCCCCTAGCATAACTTGTCTAAGCCAAACATATAACATTAGAAACCATGCAACAATGGGCTTGAGAGAATTTTAATTTAATTAAGAAGACATACACTTATCCCGAAGAATAAATATGTCACTTGTAATAGTGATTCAATCACCTAAAAGAATTTGTGACATCCGTTTTGGTCTGCGAAATATTTTATAAAAATACCTAACATAAAAAATTAGATAGGGTTTATTTTATCTGGGTTTCAGGTTCCCTATAGAGACAAACCCCTATAGTTAATTACATCTTAAATGATTGGGGGTCACTTAAGAAAACTCTCGATTAAGATCAGGTAGTTTTGCTTTCAAGATTTCAAATTTTAGGCTTTCACGATTGGACATGAGAAAATCAAATGGGAATGACTCAAAATAGGAACAATTATTTTAAAAAATTCAAAGGAATGAATAATAGGAGACATCACAGATCCAGGAGAAACCCCGGGGATGTCCCAACTATCCTAATGTTCGGCTTTATGTCTTTGAAGTGATGCTTATTTGATGTTTCAATCCTGCAAATTATTTAGGATTTAGGACTTACGATTATACAATATCAGACTGTGCAAATAGCCTAAAAAGGTAGGAAGATTTTACACCGTACCGGATGGTAACCTCGGAATCCTAAAGTGTTAGGACTTATAATTACACAACAGGGTTGTGCAAAAGCCTAAAGGTGATCCTATGAGTTGTTATTTAAACTAAGGAAAGTGTATAGTGTTGTGAAAATGTTTATGTGATGTGTTTTGATGTTGTAGATCTTTCTTGAAGTTGTTCCTCGTCGTGCTGCCCACGCTGTTCGCTCCAAGCTCCTCGTAGTAGCACGTCCTGGTTTAGTTTTAGTCCTATACAATCACTAAGTTTTCCTAAACTAAGGCATAGTGTGTATCAAAATAACTAAACATGCAATATAAAAGAAAAGAACAATATAGGTACAGTGGAAAGAAAAGATAGTATAACAAGCTGAAAGAAGAATATAACATGCTAAGAAAAGACAGTATAACATGCTGGGAAAAATAGTATAACAGACTATGAAAACAATATAACATGCTGTGAAATAAAATGTTGTAATGTAAATTAAACCTGTACACCTGGGAGATTCATTATTCCTGTAAGTTTAGCTATTATGCGTTGTGTAAAAGGGGAAAGTATGACCTGAAAAGACTTGAGAGAAATAGATAAATCATAGGAAGTAGACAAACAAATAAAATAAAATACAATATCACATATAAATGACCAAGAATAGGAGATTTATATGTGATATTGGGAATGTCCTTAATCGCCAAGAGGATCTCAGTGTAAGACAAACTCAAATCCCGGAGCATTGGGTTTCATTTTTGGTCAAGTTAAGGTAAGAATTTCATTATTTGATTTAATTAAATCAATCATGAATCACAATCTAGTGCACCCTCGTGTCTAGTGTCCTAATTAATTCATGAACTGGGGTCAAATGTTTGGCTTCTTAGGTTCATTTGAACATTAGAAGGATGAACTATCTCAAGGTGTGCTCCTAAGACTTAGGAAGCCTACACTTTAATTTGGGCCTGAAGTGTTCTAAAGTGTCTAACCTCAATTAAGTGTCCCTCAACTAATTTTCAAATATTTTTAGATCAAGCTTGGCTCTCTATCAGACTCCTAAAACCTAGGGGTAAACCTAAAGTTTTAGCAAAAAGGGGTTATGAAGTGTGCTTCAATACTAGTTAGGGTAGTTGGATTTAAGTTGATTCAAAGCTTAAGGGACCTAAATGCAAGTTTACTGATCTTCCAACCCATGTCCCTAATCATTATCTAAACTCTCGCTCTCTTCCAACCCTCAACTATTCTTCCAATTTACAATTTTATCTTTCATATGCAAAAAGGAATAGTAGATGGTTCGCTATTCTATCCCTTCTTTAGGTTTTATCATCTCGAAGATCCAAATCCTATTTTTAATTTTCTTTCCCTTTCTTTTTCCCTTAAGACTATGAATCATTTCTGAATATAATTAAATCGGAAATTCCCATTTTTAACTTGACCGTTAAAAAAAAAAATAAAACAAAACAAAAAAAGGATGCCGATTCACTTTTAAAACAAAGTTAAGTCGTTAAAGCTTAAATGAAATCATAAGTGCATCGATCTAAAGACGTTTAAATCCGTTAAAAAAGAAAATGATCGGATCAATCCCGAGAAGGATATCTTTTTCAAATGACAATCTTGTGCATTTCAAAACCCCTCATGAATTCAATTCACATCAATCCTATATTTTCTCCAAATGAAATTATACAAACCCTTTTACATTTCACAAAAGAAGAAACATTAATTAATGGAAGAAATAATTCTCTAGCCTTCTAGAAAAACATACCAATATAAAAAATAATTTAATCCCATCCTTCATCAAAAGTTTATAATGAGATATAAATCCAACATGGTATAAAAAAAATCAAATATATGCTCTCGAGTAAGACCGGAGGGAGACTCCAACATCATAATAGACCCACGGGTAAGAGCCAAAAGGAAAGCCCCAAAGGCAGCAGCACCAAGCAATACCCAAGATCAAAGCAATAGGCATCATCTCATAATTATTTAAGCTTGAATCAAACATAAAAGAGTCATAGGGAAAGCTCATGACCAGGCTAAAATAAGGAACAAATTAAATTCCAGCCAACCTCAACATTAATCACAACATGTAGGGGTCACGAGTAAAGGGCAAAAAGAAGAAAACCATAAAGGCAACACACACCAATTAAGGCTCACGTGTAGAGCCAGAAATAGAAGTAAAACAACCATCAAACCAGCCCTTAACAAGCTCCAAATCGAGCCCAGAAAAAGGGACAAAACAACCACCAATCTAAGCCTCAAACAAGCTCTTCAAAGTCCCTAAGATAAAAGGAATGCCATGTATACGTATTTCACGCAGAGGGGCAGCAAAAGGAGGAAAGATCTAGCCCCAAATACATTCTTTCAACACAAAAAAAATCATTTCCAGCAAATATTCTAATGAGGGGCAGCAAGAGAAACAAGACATAAACCCCAAACATACTTTTCCAAATGTATTTCTAAAAGAGTAAAATGCATTCCAAGACCACCCTAGCCATACTTTCAAGTGCTTCAAGTAAGGAAAGTAAAGATAGCCCACACATGCTTGTCATAGACATTTATGAGGAATAAAAATGCATTTTTAAAATGCTCTACCAATGCTTCCACATATTTCAAGCAAAAGAAAAGTAAGGGAAACTGATATATATGCTTCATTTCTCACGATCCTAACTTCATTTCTTATCATCCTAAGCAAATATTCATGCTTAAACTTTAGAATAAGCTTCCATTACAACATTCAATTGTTTATTATCATGAGTCACTAGACAAGACAAAATCAGAGCCTTATGCAAGCATTTTTCCCTATTTTAACATTTTCAATAACATGTTTCGAGCAAGGCAGCAAAACAAAGGAGAAGAAGAAGAATATCTCTTTAGTGCAAACCTAAAGCAAAACACTAAAAATAGGATTGAAGTAAACACCACACAAAAATTTCTCCTGAAAACCTCACGCAAAAGCTCTGCTCGGGTTTCTAGTTCTTCAAGCCGCAAAAATCTTCGAACGACAGAGAGGAAGGAAATCTTCTTTCGAACAACAAAGGAGTAAATCCGCTTGCTAACTGTGAAAAAGGAAGAAAGAAAAATGCCAAGTTCCTCTAAAAATTTTCCTTCTCTCAAGAACACTCTCCTTTTTTTTTTCTCCGGAAAACTTCAACAACCCTCAGGCCACAGAGGATGAAAAGAACAAGTAAAAATGAAATTAGAGGAAATTTTGGCGGCACCTCCCCACTCTCAGAAATTTCGGTCAACCTTAGACCCTCCCACAAATGGGGTTCTTTATAGCATAGAAAGGAGAAAGGAGAAGTCACCTACCAACCTCCTTGGTAGCCTAATCAGGTAAAGGAAGAGGAGAAATGCATTTAGAGCGGAGGAAATGCGGCCTAGGGCAGAGGAAGAGCCGGCCAGGTGGAACTTCGCAGTGGGAGGGCTGCTCGATCGAGTGGAGCTCGAGGAGGCTAGCCGAGTGCGCGAATGGCAGCGGAATGCCGCGTGTGAGGGAAGAGGGAGACGGGTTCAGTTTTCCTTTGCGCCGATCGCGGGAGAGGAGAAACGTGCAGAAGCTAGGGCTCCGCCCGAGCGGCTCTCAGTCGAGGCAGAGGAATGTCGCACATGAGTAAGGATCAAATAGGACTTAGGGTTATAAATCCTAATATTATAAACAATAAATATATAAAATATTAATATTTCTTAAAAAATAAAAATTTGATTCGTACTTTTTTTTTGTGCATCACAACACAACAAAATGGATGTTCCTTTTAGGTAATTTTGATGTTCCAGACGTACTAACGCGGTCCGTTTCGCCGCCGAAGGTCATTTTGACGAATTCATCGATTTGCATGTAAATTTTCTCAAGTCGGAAATATGGCAATATGGGTGTCCTTTCCTACTAAAATTGGTGTCCCGGACGTGTTGGCGCAGTCCATTTCGTCATCGGGTGTCATCCAGAGAAGTTCGCATTTTCACCCTTCCTTTAGGCTCAATTGAAGTCCGACCTCGTGCAATTTTGTAAATTTTGTGCATTTTGTGTGTGTATGTGACGATAAAGTCGTAAATAGGTTTTCCTAGGGCTTGAAATCCTATTGAAAATTTCTCCCTGAGTTTTCACATAATAGCCCTCAACCGCTCGTACATAAGACGATGGTCCTGGGCCATAAATGCTAGACATCATAGGAGAAAAGGAAATGTCTGGAATTTCTAAAATGGGTGGGTACCAATTATAGTTTTCTAAGATAGTCAATAGGAACTTCTAGAGCTAGATCATAAGATCCTAAAAAAAGAATTAACCTAAAAAATGAGGTCAACAACATGTTAAAAAATGATTAAATATTAAAATTTAATTTTATTAAACTTTTAAAAATTTGGATTTCCTATAATTAAAAACTTTTTATTAATTTAAAATTTTAAGTGCATCGTCTAAAATTTCTACACGAATGAGCATCATTTTTCTTTTTCCATTTTCTTTTTCAAACTTTGTTATATTTATTTATTTTTTGCACAAGTACAATAACATTTTCAACCAATATCATAAAGGTTTGACTCATATGGCTGATATACATACACTTCACTTGATTTTAATTAGTTTTCTTAATCATTTGAAATATGTATTAGTCTCTTAGTACATATGTGAACCCCTTAATTAGAATGAAGCTAAACCCTTTAATCATTGAGGTGTCTTTTGGTGTAATCTTTGGAATTTCATCAATAACTCCAAAGTTTAGCATGCTCGTGCGTACTCAGGATGGGTGACTTCCTACGAAGTTACACTAATAGTACAAAATCATTAATCCTTTAGGTTAAAGCGGATAATATATTCACGGATAAGAGTTTGGGCTGTTACAAAGATTATCAGAGTATTATACTTACATAAATATAGGAATATCTACCTAGTGGATGATTCTGAGTTAAAAAAACTGACGAGAGCGTCAGTTACTTAAGTGGGAGCCTTAAGTAGAATGAAGTTAAACTCTAAAATATTGAGGTGTATTTTTGTGTAATTGTTGGAATTTTATTGAGAGCTCAAATACTAAGTTTGCTCGTGCAGGGGCACTTATAGGATGAGTGACCTCTTTGGAAGTTACACCAATGGGTCAAAATCATGAAGCCATTAGACTAAAGCGGATAATATCTCAATGGATAAGTGTTTGGGCTGTTACAACATATTTAATATATGGATGTTTTTCAAATCATGTTATAATGCTTATGAAACTTTGGTACATTAAATGCTCAATTGTTTTTTTATCTATAATTATTAGAGCATACATATTTTTAAGCATGAATGTATTTGTATTTTAAAAGACTGAAATTATTAATCACTTCAAATCTTCTACAGGTCCTCATATGTTTAAGCCTAACTTTTACCTCCTTTAACTAACAAAGATAACATATAAAGCATATATAAAAAATCTATTTAAAAAATAATAACTCTAATAGAATTAACTAATTCCTGTTTAATAATTTCAAAGTTATTTTATATCTATTTGCAAAATTTTCCACGAGGTTCTCACCTTTTCCACAATTTCAAATATTAACTTTTCTCATTTTCACCTAATAATAAAATTTAAGATATTTTTTCTAGACAACAACCTTTTAATCTTCATTATTTCTTTTTAATTTTTAAATTCTTTAATTTAATACATAATTTGGTCTTCTACTTTCTTCTTTTGCACAATGAAATATCACTTTTAGTCGTTCTATTTCCAATCAATTTTACCAAAATAAGTATTGTTCTCCAATCAAGATGCTGAAATATGAGTTATTGTAAATTTGGTTGTTTATATAAACTAGAAGAATTAAAATTTAATAGCTACCACAATTGTTTTTATCCTTCTTGCAAGATCAATATTTTTTTCCCTTGTCTTTCAATCCGAATATTCTTCTGTTTTTCATTGTTGACATTACTAAATAACAATTAATGCTAATACTTAATATCAAATATGTTTAAACAGTGAAATAAAACTCTATGCTCTAATCACTTAGAAGTCGAGTGGGTCTCTGTCCTCCTGATCTGAACATTAATCTAGCCCTCCTCTCACGTAGGGCGTCTTTTGCACGCAACTTTCGATCGGCAGAATGACTTCATTGCCTGCATGCTAAAACACCACGATGTTGCCACTTCTGTCATGCTTTCTACGCTCAAAATGAGACAAATCTCGTTTCTTTTGCTTTAAATGAACGATACTATCCTCCTTATCTCCTATTAGAAGAACCGCCTTGTCGGTTCGGCCGAACCGATGCCATCGTTTTTATTTATTTATTTATATTTATATTGGTTATTTCTTTAGTTATTACAGTGCCAATGTAGGTAATCTAAATATGAATTATTTGTAAATTAAAAACATAATTACACTTCAACTATTTCATGAAAAATAAGCATTCCAATTTTGAGAAGTTAATTCCTAGTTATTGATAATTCTAACCCTGAAAGTCATATTTGCTAGCTGTAGTAAACTAAATTCTATGCAAAATAAAAAGAAAAAAATTGGAAAAATAAACTCTTAGGGTTATGGATATAATATTGGGTAATTTATATACATTGCAGACAATTTTTGTGTATTTACATATCACACAACTAAACTTTTATATTCATGAACAAAGCACTCAAATCTTTAATATCACATAAAAAATACTACTACTATCACTTTTTAAAAGTGAAATACACACATAGGTTTAAAGCGCAGTAAAGATGGAAGTTTAGGTGTGAGATATGTATATACATAAGAATTGCGTGCTAAGTGCATAAGAATTGTGTGCTAAGTCCCCTATAATATTTCATGCTGAACTGTATAGAACGTCTGTGTATTTTCATGATTGCATATGTAGAAGTCCGAGAACAAATAACGGTTCTTGATCATTCTATTGCAGCTACCGTTTTTTAGATGGAAGAGATTTGCTGTAGTTGCTGCCATGTGCATCCTTGCCGTCCGTGCTGTGATTGTTCAACTAGCATTTTTTCTTCACATGCAGGTTTTTATCGACCATTCTAATGTCTTAAATGTATTTAAATGCGTTCCAAAATTTCTTGGAGTATATGTTTGAATATTTCATCTGGGAAA